AGAGAAAAGAAGAGGGGGGGGGGTGTAAAGCCGTGTTAGAGGGGTGTATTGTTACAGCATAGTGGCATTTCACTTCGGGGGTTCCCGACAGGAGGACGTAAAGGCAGTTTAGTGTGTATATTTGACCCATTGTTACTTGTTTATTTATGGTATACTCCAGATCGCGAACGAACCCCAAGACGCGACTTGGGTGCTGAGGGTGTAACGACGTCGGGAACTATTTAATAGAGGGGGAAAGAAAAAAAAGCAAAACGTTAGGCCTAGAGTCATCACTTCTCTATGGGGGGTATATTGGTGTGGAGACGATTTCGTGGTACGGGTTTAAAGAAAACACGTACCTAGAAAGAACTCTTTAACAGGTTGACATAACCGAGTGCGTGCACACGGGAACGTGTTAGACGACCTGTCGGCGATGGCGTTTCGATTTGCGAGTAAGGTAGGAACTCCTCGAGTGCTTTCCGTAAGCGGGCCTCCCGCTCACCGCGGCAGTCAAGTCCCTTCACAAAAGAGGGTAAATAATACGATGGTATGGTACCCCAGTGCCGTTGGGCCGGTCCCTCATTGATGTTATTCGGTTCCGTCAATCTCGGGGACTTCTTGAACTGATAGTGTTCCAGACGTAAACGAAAATTGTAGGTTGGTAAGTCCTCCTCCTCATCAAACAGCAAAGCTGCCTGTTTTTTAGCAGTGACCTCCTCGGGTACCGGTAAAATAGGAAAGTCCGGCACCGTTGTATCAATAGTCTGGACATGCACGTCATGGTCGAAAGGAAAGCGCCAGTACAAACGACGGTATCGATCCATCCCAAGGGGTTCAATGATGGAACCAATATTAAGTTTATCCACCTCTTGATAAAGGTTGAGGTACACATCGTGGTGCTTTTTTTCCAAATCCTTCAGAATTTGGTTTCGTTTGGTATTATAATCATTACTCTCAGCATTATCCGCTTCTTTTTCTTCCTTTGAGGTGGGGCAACGCAAAGTTTTTAAAAGATTGTTGATCTCCTTCTCTGCATCTTCTCGAATTTCACGAATACGCTTATCCATCGATGTTATGCGTTTTTCACACATTTTAAGTAATTCATCAGATTCTTTACGCGCTTTAGGAGTACTGAGGACCTCGCGTACAAGAAAGATGAGCAGATTTAGACGATCTTCTTTATTTACATTGCCCCACGTGGCTAACGCACGAAGCTCAGTAATATGTTCCATGGTTACTTTCAGCTCCTTATCAAACCCAGTAACTTCGTCTTCCGCTTCAGCAGAAGGCGGCGTCTTTGCATCATCCTCATTCTTTCTCGACCTAGGCATTTTGGGAGAGGTCGATTCAGTCTCCGAGGTATCGCTGTCAAAACTAGAATTCTCCTCTGAGGAAGTATCACTGTCGCTATCTTCTTCATCTTCCTCGCTTTCTGTGGATGGGGATTTCGGTTGTTTCCGTTGCGTAGTCTTCTTCTTATTACCGCTCGCCAGCGCCACAAACTCAACCATGGAATCAAACCAACTTTTCCCTCGGGTCAACATGCGCGGAGTATTGGGGGATGTGAAGTTGGGCCGCTGGATGCAGACCTCCAAGAGACAGCGCGTGATTTCTTCCATAAATCCGTTGTTGGTTTGGTCTTCCATCTGAAGCCCTTTCAAGAACATCGAGAAAGGCATCCGTGAAAGGCAGAGCGTTTGAGGAAGGGACACAATCATGGTCCAAATAAAAAGGGCTTTTTGGTAGTTTTCTAAAGGCTCAATGGGAAGACGAGATTCGTACTGAACAAAGGCGCTTTGCATGGGATTCGAAATTTCGGTATCCTCCACCAGCTGGTCCCCAATCGTAATGCCTTCGATAAGCTGTCGAAGCAAACGCCGCTCTTCATTCTTTTTTGCGGCCATTTCTTCCTTTGCTCTCGCCTTTTCTATTATTTTTTGCTCAGCCTCATTCCGTTTTGCCTTCGTAGCGGCCCGCGCTGATCGTTTGATTTCCTTTTCCTCTTCGGTTGGTTCCCGAAAGGGCAGGGTATTGTATCCCTCAATTTGGTTAATAACCTGAAGGCAAGCATAGGCGATATTATGGAGGAGATCGTCATCCAGTTCGTACCGGAGCTCTTCATCTTGACGGAAGAGGGTTGTGGAGGCATCGAGTGCCGCCTTCAGTTTATTAAGTTCAATTTCATGAAAGGGCTCAGGAGGTTTTTTATCCTCCTTCGCATGGTAGGCTTCGCGCTCTTTGTCTATGATAACCTGAATGGCCGCTATGCGTTCCTGCAGGTGGTCGAAAATGGGGATCAAATCGTTAAACTGCATTGCGTAGACGTGCGCG